ATGCTCGGATTGTAGGCCACCGCCCTCAGCTTGTCTAGAGTATGAGCAGTCATCCGTGAAAGGCTCCGATAGTTGGGTAGCAGAATGCCTGTCTTAGAAGTGACGATCTCCTTTTGTCCTCCGACGTCTGTTGTCATTACTAACAGTCCCGCGGCCATGGCTTCGTAGACAACGAGGGCTATTCCTTCGTTCACCGATGGAAGCAAAAAGACATCCGATAAGGCGTAGTAATCCCTCAATTGCAGCAACCCTTGAGCCGGAGGTGCCACGATAACTCGCGGTGCTTTCTCTTGAATTCTGGTGGACATATATGGTTGCAAGCGCGATTCCTCTTCACCACTACCGACAAACATAAACACAAACCGGCCTTTCGTTTTTGGTTCTTTTGATACCTTTTCGATGACATCCGAGATTACATCCAAGCCTTTGTCAATAACAAAACGACCAGCGAAGAGCACGACTAGTTTGTCATCTGAAATGTCGTAGCGCTCACGCATAAGCGCACGAGCCTTCGTCCTCGCAGCACCATTGTGCAACTTCGCAGCATCAGTGCCTACGTAGCACGTTTGGACTTTCTCAGGGTTGGCATCCATGATGCTTTTGTCGATCCATTCCTTCATAGAATCGGCAACATTTTGCGATGCTGTAAGATGAAGGTCGAAGAACTTTGAATTATTTGCGCCATATCGCGGCAAGCCTCCACCTTCCCAGCTCATATGGATCATATGGTTATAGTCGACAATTGTAGTTTCCGGCGCAATATGCTTTAAGAATTTGCTATTCGCATAGGCCCACCTCGAGTTGGCCATGAGCAAATAATCCGGGCGCCTCGACTCGAGCAAGTGTCTGTATGTTCTGGCCGTTGCTTCATGTGGACCCAAGGAAAGCAAATCCCATGTATCGACGGATAGCGCCAGGGCCTTATGCAACCACTGATTCTCGAGAGCAAGCTCTCCAATGTCATCCTCCTTCCATGAGGGCATGGTGAGCACGAACGTAAGCGCCCAACCCTTCTTGTGAACGGCTTCCGCTATATCCAACATGCACTTCTCACTGCCGCCCATCTGCATCCAAGGTAAGATCAGGAAGATGCTCACAGGCACCTTTTCGTTCCGCTGCGGGAACGGTACCGGTCCCAACTCCATCTCTGGCGCTCCACGATTCCCCGAACCGTAGAGCTTATCGTTGTAGACCTCATCCTCATCCTTCTGTGCAGCCCACTTGTGAAAGGCCAGGTCAGACCACATAAACGGAGGCATTAGATCTTTTGCGACATGGGCAAATGACAGACCGTCTTGCCTCTCGGCGAGACTAGTGTACAATGCCTCCTTGAGCACACGTGCGCGCGAAACAAGACTAATTAAGAAAGCGAGAGAATCACTGGGTGCCTCCCTGGGGAGAGAGGACGAATTAACCATCAACGGCAACGGGTGCAACGCACGGTCGGGGCTGGGCGTAATGCTCCGAACTTCAAAGTCTGAATCGGCTTCTTTCGCTCGCAGCAACGATGCAGACGAGTACGCGCGGGAGTGAATGGCAGGAATGTGCGGGCGCAAGACGAGCGAGAGCCATAGCTTCTCGACAGCTGTCGGTTCGAGAAGTGTGGCGGAGTCAAGAGCGAAAACAAAAGGAGATGGAGGTACGGAGGCCAAATGGGTAGTCAGACATAACGGAAGGTTCTCAGTGTTGCTGCAAAACATATGAGAGACGGAGGGGAAATACGGGCGGGCCTTTTTGAGAATGGAGGAGGAGAAGGAGCAGGAATGGATGATGGTGAGAGAAGAAAGCGGGAGAGTTTGCTCGGTGAGAGCGACGAGGGAAGGCTCAACATCATTCGCGCAGCACGGTTGTGTAGGATGGCAGACGAGAACGGCGTGGATGGTGTAGAGCACTGTTGAGGTGTCTGGATCGAGGGAATGGGGTTTCGGCTTGTAAGCGGAATAACGAGGAGCGAGAGTTAGAAGGCGATCGCGGGTTGGGAGAGGAGAGATCTGATGTTCAGGAGGCAGGGAATTGTTGGCATGGGGAAATTGGTGTGAATACGGGTGCACGGGGGGCGGGGCGGCAAGAATACAATTATGCGAGGGGAGGGAGAGGAAAGGGAGGGAGATGGGGATGAAAGTGAGGAGCGAGATGACAAGAATGAGCGGGAGGAAGAAGGGGCGAGAGAGTCGGAAGAAACGCTTTGTGTGTCGCTTGAGTGGGGAGCGAGTGGGGCGATGGAGGTTGGAGGTGGAGGAGGTGCGACTGAGGGCGTTGAGCGAAGAGAGGGAGGTAGAGGAGCGTGTGCGAAGCTGGGGGAGGCGGTGCGATGAGGAGGAGGCGGAGGTGGACGAAGAGGGCATGATGGCGCCGAGGCCGCAGGGCTGGATCAGGAGGAGCGAGGATGCGAAGCGGGTAGACGGTGGGGGAGAGGTGAAGGTGGGAAGGGAGCGGCAAGAAGTAGAGGTGTAAACCGTTCGTACCCAGGTAGTGTAGGGAATATGAAGATGTTTGGGGAACGAGTGTAATGAGGGCCAGTATCTGCAGACAGGGTGCTCAAAACTGCAGCAATGACGCAGCCGTTATGACGTTTGATCACCGTCATCTATCATCGATAAAGGCTTAAAGGAGCGTCCCCGCCAGGGCGCCTCTGGCGCACATAACCGACGGCGCCCAAGCCACGTGTACATCCACGAGGCGTGCCTTGTATCCGCAGCGCCGCTATTTCACTGTACCCACTGTAAACACATATCGCTGTACACCTGGCATCGCTGTTGAGATATGATCTCAGCAAGTACTGTACCGCTGCTGTACAGTAGAGTAGGGTTTCAGCAGATATTTCCATTTCCCACAAATTTCCCATCGTACCTCAGAGAATCTCCCCAATCCTCACTCACCCCCACCAGTCCACAGTACACGTCCCTATATTCATCCCGCCCCCCCATCCCGCCTCTCACCCGCCCTGCCCCTGTCCACTCCCCATCTGCATCCTCTGACAGCCCCCTCCTTTGGCCCCCCCCCCCACCCTCCCTGCCACGATGTCGACCCCCGCCTTCACCACTTCCTTCGCCGGCCTGAGCCTCGCGCTTCCCAATGCCTCCTCACACCGCACTCCGCGCTGTTCCATGGGTGATTCAATCGCCCCCAAGATTGTCGTCGTCAACACCGGCAACGAGCAAACCTCCCGTCTCACCTTGGAGTGGGCCGCCATCCCCCCCAAGACTGGCGACGCCACCAGCGTTCTGGCCAACACGGCCCTCAAAATCGCTCTCCGCTCTATCTCCAAAGTCGCGTCCTCTCCCGCTCCCGTCCAGCCTTGTCCCCCCTCTGTCACCCCGAAGAACTTCTACTTTCCGCCCGAGACCCGTAACATGGCCCCTGTCATTTCCATGACGGCCAACGAATCAATCTCCGTTGCTGTGGAATCCATCAACCCATCCGTCGCAAATGTGAAAGCTAACTCCCCGGACTCCGTCGCCTTCTGGAAGACCCCCACCTACAAGTACTCCGCCCCCGACGCTGACGAGCCCGTCAAACCAGAAGTGCTTAGCACAGAGCTGTACGAAGCCTATTTCCCCACCAAGATTCGTAACCTTGCCCCGAAAATCTCGATGAGACCTCCAGCCGGCGACTGGGACAAGACCGCATACTTGATACTTGACAAAGAGTTTGTCGCGCTTAACCCCGATCTCGCCCGTCAGCTTACTGTGAAACCAGACGATGAATCCGGACCAGCTCCTTCCGCCTCTGCCACTGTTGAAAAATTCTTCGGAGGTGAATTCATGTCCAAGGCTCCCCAAATTTCTATTGACCAGGATATACCAAAGGTAGAATTTTCCTTAGGTGATATTTCACCCTCCGCTGAGACCGTCTCGGCCGTGTTTGCTGAGGTCGGACGACCAGAGGGAGATCAGTGATCCATCTACTCCTTAAACTGAACAGTCTTTTTCCTCATTCAGGTCCCTTTTGGGCAGGTTATTCTCTTGGTGCCCCGCACTGCCGTGCTATGATAGCTATCATTTCTTGTTCACCTTTACCAATGCCCGATTGCTGCCCTGTCCAGACTAGGTATGCCATTACTAAATGCAATCCCAGTCTCAGCTATCTTGTGTATTCGCAACGTACTCATCACTTCTCCCCTTGCTTGAGGTGTTTTGCAAACGTCTGTGCGACCAGTATCGGGAACAGAAGAGTTGCTTCTGCCATCACCTTTGTCTTTTCCCCATTAATTCTTATTTTGCCCCACGACACAGCCTCATCCGGCGAAGCTCCAGAGTCAGACCCGTCATATTCCTGACCTGTATTCATGTAAACTGCATAGTCTGCTCCGTTTCGCATCAGGTTGGCGTTAGCAATATGGTGTTTGATAACCCCGCCACCCAAGATGATCATGCCAGTGCACGGTGCTCTTATCGCATGCTGGTTCATCCGCCGAATGTCCGACACGAGATCGACGATAAATCCAGGCTTCTTATATGAATGGAAGAATATCATATCACCAAGTGACCCATCAGTCAGCGCAGGGCAGAACACTGGAATTTTGTTTTTTGCAGCCCAATAATATATTGAGTCCTCGTTGTTAATCCTTTCTCCTAACAATTGAATTAGCGTTGATGGCGCAAATATCGTCCCTTTGCTCTTTTGAATTTCTAGTGCCTCGTCCAAAATAGGCATGACCCAGTCTTCAAACTTGCAATAGTTGTCGTTCGGAACCAACAGGTTTCCGATTCTGTTCAAGCCCTTTTTGCGAAGGATGTGTCCTTTCAAGTCGAAAGATCCGACCCCGGTTGGGCCAAGGCACTTAATAAAGTCTTCCTCTATGCCTCCCGCTGAAGAAACGAGGACATCAACCTGCCGAGTTCGAAGAAAATAACGCCAGAAAAGAGATAGAAAAATGTCAGCAACCTACTGGAAAAGAAATGGCAGCATCACGTCTATGTTTTGTTCGAGGTTAAGGCAGCGTACCATCTTGTATTTAACGAGAAACTTTATTGTTTCCCGCATCCCAGCAGATACCATGTTGGATGTGTACCCAAGGAATATCTTGCATTTTGCACCTGGGGAAACATCATTCTTGATTTGCTCTTCGGATGGTTTCCATTCCAGCTGTTATAAAACGGGAACATTGTCAGTTAAAACATTATGTCAACGGATAGGGATAGTGTATCTACGAATGCAAAACTGTCATCTCCGCACAACTCACCATGTGGTTCACGATATCGATTGCCTTCCCAAAATTTGTTGCCTGGAACCCCGTCGTAGCGTAGGAAGCGAAGAGAGCATCGTAGTCAACTTTTTCACCTTCAAAATCATATCCACGAACAAGGGCAGAGCCTGCTGGTAAAGATTCTGAGGCACCCAGCACGGCCGCCGCCGCGGATGACGGCACGTTTTCCATTCCGAAGTATGTGAGGTCTCCGTTTTGCCACCCTCGCAACGTTGTAGACTGATGAGGGACAAACCCACACTTTTACGACGAACATGTTAATAGCAGCTTTCGGATGCTATTGGCCCGATGGTCGTCGTCTATTTTTATGACATTTTCAAAAACTAGTATCCCATTAATTTAATCAAAGAGTGCTCCCTGCCGAAATGAAAATATTTATTTAGAGACGCCTCACTGTCCTTAGTTCTAAAAGCCCTCTTGACTACATATTTTAGGGTTTACGGTATCGATTGTGAGAATCACTTGGGACAAATGGCATTTATCCCAACTTATTATTCACATCCAAAATTTTATCTTTGAAATGGATTTACGGTAGGCTGATCTAGAAAGGCGGCGTGAGTATTTCCATTACGGCACGTTTTCATCACGGCCTCCCCTGTTCCTGATCCATGACACCAACATGCCTTTCCACCGGCTCCGCGATCACACACCTGCTCGAACTACGGAAAGAAGGCATGACTGGCTGCAGGCTGCCTCTACTATAGCGCGAAGGAGGCAGACCAGCGCCAACAGATCTATCTTGAGCATAGCCTTGGTACTGGCAGCTCAAGAATACGCTAAAGCGGATCACTGCTACATGACGTACATGCGCAGATGCAGAGAGATATCTCTATCAAATTTCAGTACAACATTGCAAATGATATCTGAAGATGCATGCCTTTCTCTCTTTCGCTTTCGTCACAGCGACTTGAGCCAAATCGCAGAAGCTATTGCATGGCCAGAAATGCAGGTCAGAACCATACGCAACGGATATTCAGTAACACGCTTCCTCGTTGCGTGCGTTGTGCTACGCCGAGTGTCATCACTAGCTCGCTGGAAAGACCTCGAGATGTTGTTTTCGAAGCATACGCCTCAGCTCTCAGACATTTCCTGAGAGGGAATCGAGGCTTTTGTCGGGCAGAGATCGCACAGTATACAGGGGAACATCGATGCCGAGTTTCTCACTGCGCATGCTGCATAATACGCTGCGGCAGTAGAGAATAAAGGCGAAGCGCTCTGCAACTGCTTAGGTTTCATAGACGGTACCAATATTTCGATCGCTCGGCCTTCGCAAGACGGACTCAAGCAGCGTGTGGCATGCAGCGGTCACAAACGGAACCACGCAATTAAATTCCAAGCAGTCACATCTCCTTGTGCGCTCGTCCTGCACCTCTTTGGACCTGTCGAGGGCAGACGCCACGACTGGACGCTGTATCTCATAAATGGTTTAGAGGAAAGCATGCCAGGTCTCCCCCATATAGACGGTGATCAGTACGTTGTTTACGGCGACTCAGGCTACAACCCACCCGTTTTCATGGCCGTGCCGTACCAGAGTTCGCACTTATCCCAATATCAAAGAATGTTTAACGAGGCAATGGCAAAGTCTCGAATTACTGTTGAGTGGTTTTTTAAAGAAGTCAAAGGTTACTGTACTATCTTGGACTTTAAAAGAAAAATGAGGGTCAACGAGGCATCCATCGGAACGCTTTATATAGCTGGTTGCTTACTAACAAACATGCGGAACTGTTTATACCCAAACCGAATTTCACAGTACTTTTCGTGTAGTCTACAATCCCTTCAAAGTTATCTTCACCATAATGACGCATGAGGTCCCGTAATCGGCTTCAAGACCGGCATACATCTGCCAAAAGATTCTGAAAGCCCATTAAAGCATTTAATCTGACCGTGTCCCGCGCATCATGTCCAGCATCATTTTGAACTTCTTCAAATCCACTTCGTTCTGCTCCTTTCGTTCCTCTTTTCGCTCGATTCTTTCCACTTCGCGATCCTTAACCTCTTGGGCGTACCGCATTTTTTCGAATTCGAAACGCTGGCGCTCTAGATCTATCCGACTCATATCGTTTTCTCGCAGTGCCTCACCAAACTCTGCTAAGCCGCTTTGATGGTGCCTTCCTGGTGCAATTGACATATCGCGACGCTTTTCGCTTTAATCTGACTGGAATCACTTGGAAGCTCCCGATCGCCGCCGCGTTTCAAAGACCGGCGCACAAGGTCGTCGCCTGTCTCTTTTTTCTTGCGCTCGGCGTCCCGTAGTACATCCTTTTCGGTTGTACGCTTATTATTGAGGTCTTCCCTGGCATCTCTCACACTACTTAGAAGCTCTTCTAGCTCTGTTACTTCCCCTCCTACACCCGACATTAGCCGATTCTTGCTGTCTCCCTTGTCGAAAGTGTCTTGTACTTTTTTGTACCTATCCTGTGTGCTCTTGTGCGTGACGGGAATAACCAGTGCGGGGTTTAGATTAGCATTTTGAGCAGGTTTTCTGAATCGCTGCTGAACTTCACCATAACGAGCAATATGCGCCTTCGCTGCAGCAACCTCGCGGGTGAGGATCAGGTCGTCGTTGGCGGAAACTTTCGGCTTTCTTCCGGCTTTGGTTGGCTCTACAGGCTTGGACGTAGCAACAGCTGAGTTTGGCCCATAAATGCTTCCGCAATCAGAAGGAGTAGACGGATTTCCTATGAGCGTTGCCACAGCGGGAGGTCCGTCGTCTTGAACGACCTGGGCCATATCTTTAGATGGGCAGGGAAGCCCACGAGAGATATGGGTTCTGGATCGGAGTTGATGTGAGTGCGACTGGCAGGCAGTCAGATTGAGCCCAGGTTGGGCACGCATAGGTTAGTTCGGCGCCAGTTCCTGAGTCCGGGTTTCTCACACGATTTCACGATGTGGTCACATTTCAGCAACTTTCATCACACCAAATTGTAGATTTCTTTAATTGGCCTGCAACGTGTATTACGTATTGCAGAAATCATTCGTGAAAGGCGCTACCGTAAACTCTCTATTGTCCCAGTATCGAACTACACCCGATCATAGAATTAATCTGGTCGTATCTCGAACTCGGATTCCTTTATAATGTGGACCAGATTAATTCTGGAAATCGCGCTTAGAGAAGTCGATTCAGTTTTGGATCACAAGGCCACATTGGGACGTTCTATCATTCTGTAATCAGCCAGAAAGACGTCTCATCGCCACTTCAAACCGCCGCCACGGTCTCAAGATAAGGTCAGTGCGCACTGCAGTCCGCACCGCTTGCTTTCCCCGACGTCATTGGATCATGCTACCGAAACGCGGTCCACAGCGGTCCATGTTATTTTTTGTTCCAGCATATAACAACCTGGATTCAAAATTAATCTGGACCAGGTTACTTCTCGTAGCAGAGCGAAAAACGTGGCCTTCAGATTTAATATGGACTATGCTAATTGCCGTGATCGGGTGTAGTTAGTGAGTGCATTCGAGAATAAATTACCGCAAGAACGCCAGAGCTCGCCCAATTTGACGGACATTCAAGAATTCTTCGTCCGCCAGTCTGCCATCGATAAGGCCAATCAGATGTACCTCTGGGGTCGCACATTTTTCGCGATTTCAAATTAACATTTTGCCCCCCAAACCGAATTTCGGTATTATTTCGAAAACGATGCACACACAAATCCCGCCATTTTGCAATACATGGATAGAGCATGCTCGCAAAATCATCTGCTATCGCGGCATACGCGCTTCGCAACGCAGCACTGGAGTGTTTGCAATCGCTTTTGCTGCTCCCTGTTTGCAATGAGCTACCTACCCAGGGCTGTGTATATCGCTCCCGCATTTGCTCAGGCGCAGCCTCTTCCACCGCGCGATGCTCGCACTGGACGCGGTGCAATACCGGCCTTTGATGTGGAGGGTGCGGTGTCGCCCGGCCCCGGAACCGGCCCATCATCCGCCGCCCACCATCCTACCCCTATTCAGCCCGCGGTTCGTATCTGCGCTCAACCGGCCTGTTCTATTCAGGACGGAATTGTCACCTACTAGGTGATAATTCCGTCCTGAATAGAATGAGTAGTACTCATGTAATCATGCATGCGTGAGATGCATGCTCCCGATGCATGCAGCTTGTGGACAAGTTCCGCGGGAGGATGGGGAGAATTCGGACAAACGCATTTGCGGTCCGTGTTGGATCGAAGACGAGCGCGAGGAGCGACAAGTTGAAAGGGAAGGTGCGAGACACAGGATTAGGGGAATTGTGGACGGGACAGGTGTCCTGGCGTCCCACTTAGGGGTTAAGACCGGGGGCACCTGCCCCGTTCCAGTAAACGGGAGGCAGACTCGCCTCCCTTCCCTTTACGGCTAATTGCTATCCCGTTCCGGTTTCCCTTTTAGTCTCAGGCTTCTAACCCGTGACCGGCCGTCCGGATCTAACACCACCTACCGGCTGCGCGTCACCGGCCCCGTGAGCCTTCCCTCTTTTCGAGTCCTTCCGTACGGTTTGCGTTCGCGCGTGGGTTACCCAGCAGCGCGCGCTCCCTTATCTCTAACCCCCCTCGTTTCCCAGTGGTCGGGACGAAGGTAGTTATACCACACTAGGCATGCCTCAAGTGGTAGGAAAAGGGAGGATGGAAAGCTCTGGGGAGAGGATCGGGAGGCAGAATAGTACTGGGAGACAGAAAACAACAGAACCAGGGAGAAAGAGACGGAGTCCAACACGCACAGGTCCTACGAGAACTTCTATCGTTGGCGAAAAGCCTGGACGTGGGCTCTTTGATACCGGAGAGGAGCATGAAGGAGGAGCCGTAGAGCTGGAGTCCGAGGAGTGTGTCATTCCCAGGTCAAAGAAGAGAAGAGGAAGGGTTGGCGCAGCAAACTACTCCAAAGCTGAAATAAGTGCTCTGCTGGATTTTGTCCATGAGGTCGAGCCCGTAGGCTCTTACCATTGGGGTGATGTGCATGGACGTATGCCTGCATGGGCGGCCGAAAACGACCACCATGCACGGGACATCGAATCCCTAAAGAATAAGTTCCATATGCTATCGAACACGAAGAAGAGCTCTGGTGATCCAGACTGCCCTCCCGAAGTGCGTCGGACGAAGTTTATTGCGAAGGAAAACCGGGACGCAGCCTTTGCGTGTACGCTCCGTGGGCTAGATGATGAAGAACCCCTGCAATCCACTCAGTCTGAAGACTCGCCTCAGTCTCCCTCCACTGTAGCTGCGGGCACCCCTGTCGCCAACAGGGCCACCGGAAGTCGAGGAAGCAAGCGCAAGTTCTCCGCTGCGGGAAGAAGGAATGATGAGAACCTTTCGAAAATTACCGAACCGCTAAAAGACATATCAAACAAGTTTGGGGCTTTACTGGACATTTTGAGGGACGATATGGATGGTGATGCTGGCAATCTTCGAGATAAAGTTGAGGAAGTGAAGACCACTGTAGCCAATACCAATAATCGGCTGTCTCGCATCGAGGGGCGGCTCCATAAGATCTACGATAAGAGCAATTGAAAAGGAGAACTTCTGTTACCAACCACTTTTATTTTGGATGTCTTCTTACGTACCATTTTTTATGAGCCCCTTTTCTCAGGAGCTTTAGAATGATGAAGAGGTGAAGAGGGCGTCGTCGGAATGAGTTTGATCAAAGGGAGCACGATCCATGCCAAGTGCAGCATCTTGATGGCGTCCTTAACCCTGCGCGCCATCGTGGGCCGATCTCACAAGGTGAAAAACTCAGACTCTGTGCGCCTGCGTATACAGTGCCCCTACCAGGAGTGTTCAGACACTGTCAACGCCCAACCAGACCGCAGGGCAAACAACGGGTTGTGGAAAGTGGGAAACATCAATCTCACTCACTCCTGCAACGCTATAAAGGGGAACCGTAAGCGCACGCCCCTAGCCCGACACGCTCTGACAGTGTTTGATAATCTACGCGAGGGGCATGCGAACGTCCCGGAGGCTGCACACTAGAATCATCTGGACACAAAGTGGACATCGACTGTTTTTCATCGTGCAACACTCCAAAGCCAGTATGTTGCAGCTGCTGCCCTTGCTTCTCAAGTAAACATTAACGTCGATTTGCAGATTCTTTTTATTGCCAAACAGATGAGGGCGAGGAGAGTTCCGAGTCAGGCAGGTTGGCTGAAGAAACGGCGGCAACAGGGGGTCGCAGCGCCTCAACGAACGTTGCGTCGCTTTTCTTGTGTGTGGGAGAACGGGTACCGACCAGTGTCGGTAAACGTAACGACCCGGAGGGAGATCCCGTAGGGGTAATCAGACGATACTGGAAAGGCAGGGGATAACTCAGCTTGTACACGGGGTGCCCGTACCGCCACGGGTGAAAGGTGGCGGCGGAATGGCAACGTGTATCGCCGTACGTATTACGTCCCGATAGGGTACAGTAGAGGTACTCCACTGTAGTGATCCAAAGTTGAAGTGGATCACTACTGTACCGCCCGGCCGCCGGAGGTCGACGTACTTAGGGGCCGAGGCAGTACGTCCCCAGAGTAAAGGGGGCAGCGACCCCCTTTGGCGAGAACTGAGGGAAAAGAGGCAGAAGCAGATCGTCTCGTGCGGGTTATTCTTGAGGCCCGGAAGCACACGCTCCCCAGTTTGGTGGTTCCACCGCCTGGTGGAAGCGTATGCCCATTGAGCCCTATCCCCTCCGGGGTCGCAATTCCACTCGCCCGTTTACCGGAGTCATAACCGCCGCCCTCGCACAGAGGTTGGTGGTGTTGTAATTTTACCGCTGCCGTGGACACCCCCTCTGCGACGGGGTAAAAACCGAACCGGAAGGATCCACATTATTACATTGTGGTCAAGTTTGAAAATAAAAGTGGTACGTAACAAAACTTCTCTTCATTGCTGTACAGTATGCGGAAATTGCCAGCTCCAAAATAGGGTCACCGGCGGCGCATGTCGACTGGGCTTCACGTCCAAGTTAATCTTCAGACACATCACGCAGCTCTACGCGTATGCCTGTGAAGCCAGTTTTCACAAGCCTTCTACCTTGTAAGGTGAATTCCAGAATGGTAGATGACCGGCTACGGGCACTTCTCCGCGGATTTCATGGCGCTGCAGTAGAAAGTTGGAAATCGAAGTCAGCCGCAGCCGCCAGGGCTGAGCTTTTACCAACGCCGTCCACAGCAGCGCTCTCTCGCGAGCTTGACTTCTTCAGGACTTCCTCCGAGAGACTGGAAGTCACGGACAATTTGGCCGTCGGACAAATTTGCCCTGGTGAACTGGATGGAGCTTTGAAAGCGCAATCCAGTTGACCATGGCGAAACAATGTCAAATCTGTCGCGCCCACGTCCGCTGACATGTCTGCCGCTGTGACCAGTCCTACCTTGGAAGCTGCTCTAGCTCACATGGGTACTGTGTCTCCCACAGCCGCGCAACGCCGTGCGATTCCCTCCATGCGAGCCGGTAACGATGTGGTGGCGGTGGCGCCTACAGGTTCTGGTAAGACGCCTGCTTATGCCGTTCCTTTACTTTCAGAGTTACTGTCCGGGAGTCGGGCGCCAAATCGTTCAGCCCCACATGCGTTGGTGCTAGCCCCAACACGAGAGCTTGCGGAGCAGGTTGGTCGCGTTTTACGAGGCTTTCTTCAGAGGCACGGGTGAATGCGCGGATAAAGATTGTTTGCTCGAAGGCCGCTGCTTCCGGCCTCAAGGCTGCTGATGGGTTAATTGATATTGTGATTGCAACCCCAATGAGGCTTGTGGCCACCCACCAATCTGCTGCAATTAACCTTGGGCGCGTGACCCATGTCGTTCTGGACGAGAGAATTTGTTTATGATGAAGTGAAAGTAGAAGCAATTCATGCTGACCGAAGCCAGCAAGCCCGCATGCGCGCATGCGGCACGCTTGCCGTAGAGCGATATCGAACAGGCGAAGTGTGGGTTCTGATCGCAATAGATGTATTGGCACGCGGGTTGGATTTTGTAGCGGTAGAGAGCGTGGTGAACTACGACATGCCGATTAGCGCATCGGCAGACGTGCATAGAATCGGAAGAACAGGGAGGAACGGGCGAAAAGGGACGGCAGTGACGCTGTTCACTAGGGAGGATCGAGTATTGCTAGGTCCTGTTCTGGAAGTGGCAGAGGTGAGTGGAGCAGACGTGCCAAAGTGGGCGTTGAAACTCAAAGGCGTGAGAAAAGATGTGGTGAGGAGAATGGAGAAGAGACCACCAACGCGGAAGGGAATTGGGGGACCTAATCGTGGAAGCATTGGAAAACGACACAAACAGGAAAAGAGGTTGGAGTCGGGGAGTCGGACTGAGGAGGGCGTAGCGAATCGACAAGTGACGGGAAGAAAAGAAATTCAGCGACAAGGGGAAAACAGACGAGGAGGAAGAAAAGGGGTGCAAGCGATGGGTCTCAATGTTGCCACTGGTTTTGAAGAGGAAGAGTATGAATGAAAGCACGTGAGAAAGTGGTAAGTAACAAACATTATCATTAAAAAGAGTACTTCTTAGCTTTTTCCCACGTTCCTGGCACTCACTGCTACCATTTCTTCCCCCTGAAAACCCCCTCGTCCTCGAAAACCTCTCTCCTCTCCGTCGCCTTCCTCTAAATCCAACCCCTCTTCTACATCGCACGCACTATTCGTCGTCTACCGCGACCTGTATTTATTACAACATATAGTGTGTGCCATACGTTGCACGAATATGATTGCGACCAACTGTTCGCGTTCTCATGTTAAACAAGTGACAACACAGGCGACTAATGCGGCATCTTTTGTATGCATCTGCAGGTAAGGGAACTGTGAGACGCCCGAAGGGGCCCTTCAGTGCACGTACTCCCCACTCTGGAGACTGGCGCTCGCTCGACATCACCCGCTGCATGATCAGATCAATCGCAGCGAGATTTTCACCCTGCGGTACATCTCACATCTCATTCGTTTTCTTCGAACGGATCACTTTTCCATTCGTTATTCTGTAGTTATTTGCAAAGGCACTATCTCCTATTATTGCGTATCCTGGAGGAGTATTCTCATCACTCAACATCGGCCAGTATAGACCGGAAGCACTGGCAAGGCGAGAATCATGCCACGATCCGAGAAAGTTGATGGCGGCGTGAATCAGTTCATCAGCAATATTCCAAACAAAGAGATTTGTGACCTCAACCGACTGCGTGTAGCCCTCATAGTACGCGTTTTGCATACCTGGATCTGTAAACTCCGCGCACGGCATCCGAGTGCCATCAGTGACCGCAAAAACGCCTCGAAGTAAACGTCCATAGGGCCGATTCTTTTGTAACAATTGCGATGATGCCTCCATCTCGACAGCCGTAGGCCAGTTAATGGCAAACAGGATGTGCTTTTGGTCCGTAACTACAATTTCGAGGACAGTGAGGCTATAATGAAGCCAGTCTGAGATAGAAGACTGAGTCCTTCCGAACACGGGACAGAGTATATAAACGCGGCCACGAGTTTTTAGATACCTGTCGCATTCATAGAGCCCAACAGCTTTCGCAAAGCAAATACAATATTTTAGATTCTCGCACTCGGGAGTTTCCATTGCCACTGATCAGAAATGACACGGTGATTGCTAGCGTGCAGTATGGTTGAATCTTACTACCATAAACAAAGACCAAGAAGATCAACACTTCGCATATACGCACGACGGCCTCTAGTCTTGGGACCTCGCCGGAACGGACTACCCCAATTATATAATTCACGTTCGTGACTAAATGCAGGGTAGAGATGTGTCATGAAGACAGAACGAGTGAAATTAGTGCTGATCTCGAATGATGAATCGTCTTCCTGCCCCAATATGACACGCCAAGTAGTCCGCGCATTTTCTCGTCGAGGGTGGAGAAGACTCCTTCGACTGTAGCGAGCATTGGCGTGTGCCCTCCCCACCCGCGGCTTCTTGTGGATGTTCCGTCGTTGTACGACGAATGTCGCCGCCGCCACGGCAGCACCTACGGCGGCGGCGCTTGCAGCCACCATCATGAGCTTCTCTTTCTTCGATAACTTCATGACGCCACGCTTTCATAGACGTACACCCCCTCTTCCAGCTATATCGGGTGCGGTCTGCCACTCAATCAGCAAGAATCTCTGAAAACCATCCCTAAAAGTCTACGCGTTGCTGACATTCCGATATTTTCACGGGATTTTGACAGTCTGGCAAGCTCTGGCGGTCTGTCGAGGGGTGCGAGCCCCTCGGCAGATTTAGAGATGCTCCGTCAAATTTTGTCATAATATAAATATCTCATTGGCTCGCACGTTTTCTGATCTGGCGATTTGGCAGAAAAGGCAATTCTCGAATGCACTCAGTGATCAGGCTCCTAGATGCCGGTTAGCAAGCTCTGTAGTTCTCTTTTCGACGAAACTTAGCAGCAATTCTATGCGTATCATAAGACATACACGAGCAAAAACCGTAGATGTACTCTGACCAGTCTTGACAAAAACACTCGACGAGAGAAGTTTCTGCTGGTATATGCTTTCTCGAATATGGGTTTGTCAGATTTTGATCACAACGAAATGACAGTGTTTCAGTCGACCAGTGCAGCCCAATTGGAGGGCTGACGTCACGGCTGACACAATATGAGCCTCATATTATGAGGAGTATTACCTCTCGAGTACGATTTTCACTCCCTGCGAATCCTGTAACACAGGGTTTTCGCCAAATGAGAACCAACCTAAGAATGGTCAAGCTTTGATGACACGCCATTTGTGACTTCTCTTTTTGGTAGCTGCTGATGTTGCTTTGATAGGAGATCTGTCGTACTCTTCGACAACAGCTGTTGTTGAGGCAATGGATGTCTCATTTTATTCTGTTGGGGACTATTTGTGGGGTGATGTAAGACGAAACCGTTTCTACGTCATCTACCAAATATGGGGATTTTATCCTTCCTTGCATTAACCGGACCACTACAAGTTCACTTGATGAGTTTTTTGTCTTCATTGAACAGTGCAGTAAACTTGCTCACTCCAGTGTTGCACGCACACTTCGCTTTTATGGAATAATTTTGTTCCAGCATTCATAGAAATCCCACCGTTTTTGATGTACTCTCAGAAAACGTAACACAAAATAGATAACGTTTCGAAGTGACGCAAACCCTTATATAGTGATCAGCACTGCCAGCTGGAAAGATGATTCTTTTCATCACGAAAACACAACACAGCGAGAATTGGTCAACGGAAGTTTATGAAAGCACTGACGCGCCATTGAACAGAATCTCGTTCTGCTTCAACACGCCCGTATTTTTTGACCGGTGGTTTTTTTTGTGCGGGAGCTGTAGATTCGTTTTGCATATCCCTTAGTAAAGGTAATGGTCATGTACACTGCTACAAACTTTTGATGGCCGCATGGATACAAAAGCTCTTGTCTTTTGTTCTCCTAATTCTATAGAGACCAAAATTGAAAAGTATGCCCCATAAGATTATAACGACAGCATGACTTTGAAAGCAGACTACTCGAAGACATGTAATTGTACATGGAGTTCTCTTCTGCGTTGAGCAGCATGGAACTTTTTCCACAGAAGAGAAAGTGCGTGTTGAAAGAGGCACGTGACAATACATCTCATTTCAATCGCACTTATGTGGATGCGTCGTATAAATGGAATCGGCTGAATTGCGTCATGTGTGAAAACTAGCTCAGGCATCTGTGACATCGGCATCGGAGGAGATGTTTTCGACGTAAGCAGGTGTAGCGATTCAGGTATAGGGAATGGCAGTTTGGTGCGACGTCAAGGGCATGTGCCATTTCTTGGAAAAGGGACCGGGAAGGGAGAAGAAATGGGATTAAGCCAGAAATTGAGTTTCAATTCAAGTTTTCGCAGAGTTGATGAGTAGGACAGTTGAATCAGAAAGAGAGGAGACTCGCGGCCGCTATGAAGCATTCTGTGCAACGACACAGGGTCGCAAAAATACAATAAGTGCCTCACGCTTGCAGATCAAAGTAGTACAAGACTAGGCTTGTGAACGACAGCCACATGGGATCAGAAATCTCGTTCTTCACTGTGGTGGAAGCGAATTGTGATAGCAAGTTGTGGAGCAAGGAGAAATGGGAGTGAAGTGTAACGTGACAGCAAAGTACTGTATCCAGCCGTGTTGGGTAGACGCCTTTATGCATGCGATTGGGCTCGTGGAAGGATGTGAGGAGAATGTTCTGCAGTCAGAGCACTGGAAGGTAAATTTACGTCGGGTTTCGTGGGTGTGCTGGCATTGAATGGGACGAATAATCGCATGACTCACGTCAGCAGTGACCTACGCATGTCGAGCCTACGAAAGGCTCTTGCGACATGTAGGGGTTGTCGCCTCGATTCGGTAGACAAGGTGAGGTGGCAATTCGTAATGGCGATACTATACAACTTGTAGAAGCGTGGCTGCGACACCGGGGGCAGTAGAAGGACGTCAGAAGGCGATGTTGCACAGGGTACAGGATGACAGAGAGTTGCGGTGCATGGGTGTGGATTCCATACAGTACCAAGGGTACCCTTGGTACTGTGGAATGTGAGTAGGATGTGAGGGGAGGGGCGATGGAGAAAATTTAAAAAATGGGCGAGCGTGGGATGAATTCAGGTTGGATTTCCACACGGGTACAGAACACGAATCTTGTACTCGGGCGGATTATTGAAACGTGTACGGAAGAGACTGCCTTGCAAGGCGTTGTGCGGCAGGCTACAACTGTGCCGGCCTCTTTTGCACCACAGAGATTGATGTCCAAACGAGTACAAATGGGCATCACGCCTGCGTGACATGGAAGAAGGGGTGCTGAACAGGCCGAAACAAAAAGTAATTCAGGGATAGAGAATGTGCCTTTTACGCTTTCATGTACTGTATAGTGTTGTGACTCGTATTCCATATATATATGAGCCTATATATATTTAGGAATACCATGGCTCGAGAAGAGTGGATTGTCGTGTCCTACCAGGAGTCCTAACAGTAGGACAACAATCCAGTTGTACATACCGCTCGCATGTCCTGAAAAGGTAGAGCCGTATCATGAAATACAGTTATATATTTCTAGCTAGAGGATGTGCTACATCCGTGACTACGATGATTGATGGCGTGACGCACTTGAGCGTCCATTTGCGCATGTCGCGACCGTGGTGCAACCGTTGCACCACTGCACTTCATCATTGCGCATGTCGACCTCGTCTCCCTCCCGTGCCCACCTACATCAGGTCAAGAGTACATCCGCTCATAAACCGTCGAAATGACGTTGCTTTTCAACATGTACACACCATTTCTGCTTTCGCATTCGAAACACGTTCCCTTGCCTAATCGCCTTTGCGCCACACGCCTTATTCAACTCTAGTTGTCGAGTTTAGACCAGCTTGCGACCTTTTTCCTACCCACCCATGTTCAAACTTCTTCCCTTGCACCATTCGTTCCGCGCTTCGCTGCAAGGCCCGTTACTTCGCAATGCCTTTTTGTCGGGCCTTATACTGTACCCCAGTCTATACCTGCGCTTTCCGATCTGCTTGTTGCCTTCATCACCCGATCACACCCGCTCGCATCTCGTCGCACATTTTGTCCCAACGATTGATTCAACCAATTCTACCATTCCTTTAGATAATGTTTGGGATACATACAATAAGATATCTATGCACAGTGCAGTACAGTGCCGTACATCGTACAGGAACCACAAAAAGCCCACAGATGCTCTTACATCTCCGGGGTTGAAGAGGTGCCCAGACTATTCCACCACTCCCCACTTTGTAGAACACCTGACGAAACAGCTTTTTGCTCGCACGACCCCTCTGTCAGCTCTGATATCTTCCCATCTTTCTCCGATTGCTTATATTAGTCTTTCAGCGATCGCACACGGCCTCGCACTCCTCTTCCCATCCGCCACCTTCACTTTCACCCCCTGCATCTCCCCCTATTTTTCTTGCTATGGAGCCCCTTCATCCCCGAACCACCTCCCCCGACGGCAACGACCCTAATACTACTGCACCAATGCAGGCCGCAGCTCCCGATACCTACACTCCCATCGGAGACGCAGTAGACAACGCTTCCAACCTTGCTTCGGCCTCAACAGCATCCGCACATGAAAAGACCCCACTTATCGCCATCCCAGCTCCGACAGATCCCTCCCCTGCCCAGAGAAGCTTTCCGAGACTTCTGGAGGAGCCCGCCGGCCCTGACATCGATGTGCACAACCGTTTCGGTTTCCAAGCCTTCTTCGACGACATCACAAACCTACAATCTGGTACTGTTCCCGTATCCCTGTTTATCGCCGCTGTTATCGGAGTGCTTTGCGGAGTGGCGGCCTTCTTGTACTATACTATGCTCGAGTTCTTCCTGGAGTTCTTGTGGAAGACACTCCCCGAGCAGCTTGCCGAGAGTTTCCCCATGTGGCTCCCATGCTTCCACTGGGTTTGGATTCCCATCGTTGGCATGATTTGCGCTATCCTCGTCGGAGTCTCCATTAAGGTCATGGGCTTCCCCGGAGATCTCGCGTACACCGTCAAATGTGTTCACAAGATGGGCTACGTTCCCATTGGCCATGCCCCCGCTATGGTTGCCTCTTCCCAACTCTCCATCCTTGGTGGCGGTTCACTTGGTCCTGAGGCTCCGCTTGTTGCTATTTGCGCCTCCATTGCCGGCTGGGTCAGCATCTATCTTTTCAAGCAAAAGTACAAGAACGTTGTTCGTAAGCACACACTCTGCGGGATGGCTTGTGCACTGGCAGCTTTCTTCGGAGTCCCACTTGGAGGGTCGCTGTTCGCACTCGAAATCAATAGCAGACTTGGGTATGAATACTTCGAGCACGCCCTCGAAGCCATTTTCTCTGGTGTCACATGCCTTGTCGTTTTCCGTGGCATGGCCGGCCTTCCCATCGGTCCTATTTATTTCTTTACGCCAGAGACTTTGAAAGACTCTTCAGCTAAGCTCGTTTGCATTGGTGCCATCCTCGGCCTCGTCGGTGCTGGTATTGCTGCAATATTCGCTCATGGGCATTGGGCTGTGGTCAAGAAGCTCGACCAGTTCAATATTTCGTCAGACCCTCTCAAGCTGTCCATTTTTGGAGGAGTTGGGGTTGTTACTCTCGGCCTACTCATTCCGCAGACTTTCTTCTGGGGTGAGTTTGAAATGCAGACCATTGGTTCTCTGTCCCCAGCGTCCAGCCTCCCGCACATCTGGCCAACAAGCGGTCTGAATGGATTTGAAATCACGGGCTTCACGACGGCATTTATTGTGGGTGTCGCCAAACTCATCGCGATTTCCTTCACTGTTGCCGGAGGATATCGAGGTGGCTTCATCTTTCCTTTCTTCGCCGCTGGCGCTGCATTTGGCAGGGCTATTTGCTTTCTGTTCCCGTCCATTCCCCCGGTTGTCGCAATCTTGTCCGTTGCGGCTGGTATCAACGTCGCCATCACAAGAACTGCACTCGCTACCCCGCTCATTCTTGCGGGACTTGCTGGCGAAGTAAATGCGACTTCACCTGTTTTGGCCGCTTCATTATGCGCTGTTTTCGCGACGTACTACATGGTATGTACTCCTTTTCTCTCCAGTGCGCGAAGAACGATTTCTACCTTTCTGCTGAACTTGGCAACTAACGTGGCCCTTATAATTTCGTTTGCACCTTTTTTCAATTCTACTTACAGCCTTTCATTTTCGCTCAGCAAGGCCGTGAAGAGATCTTCGAATCTCAGTTGCATTCTTACACATTCATGGGTAAGTGGGGAGAGGAGGACGAGAGCCCGGAAATTGAGCATGAGCTTCCATCCTCGAGTAGTACAGACGTCGAGAGTCCCTAGATTTCTCATTGTTTGGCTTGCCAAGTTACTTGCATGTACAGAACCCACACCTATGTGTCTTGTCATCACTGCCGGATGATGGATATCCAATTAACTGCTAATGTTACCTCACACTACAGTGCTAGCGTGATATATTTAACTGAATGATCAGCGATATATGAAATTAAAGCCAAGTGTGACCGCTGGTCTGGTTCTATTCTAATTCCGAACTCGGTTTTCTGTAGATGTAGTTTCTACGGTGTAATTTAGAATAATCAAGGGCTGGCCTGTAATTAGAACAGCCAGCTCATTCCGGATTCCGGTTTGACTTAAGCGATGACGAGTTCGCTTCTCGTCAATAAACCCTCATCGGTCCTTCATCTGCACAACCAACAACATACTTTGGTTATCCCGACTCCTCCGTCCCCGAAGTTATTAGAGCGATCACTACCATTACTTCTCTTACCGCCTAGGAGGCCTTCGATCAACCCTACCGACTTTCGGATGTCTGACGAACGGCCCGAAGGGCCGCTCGTATCGTCATTTTTGGCATCCTCGGTAGCGAATCCCAGACTGCTTCGGACCGATTCCGAGTCAGTCTGGATCTTTCTCCGCTTGTACGATCAGTACGTGCGCAAGTTCGACTCAAGTTCGCAACAATTCACCGTTGCCGGAAGCATCTCGACGGAACCGATCTGTCCGGTTAATCTGAAATTCTGTGTCGATCCAGAAATCGTGGAGTCCGCGTTGGCTCTTGGTTTCATCGAAGGACATACCGATTATGGAACATTACCATATTCGGAGCTACGCTCGTATTTCGAGAAGAAGGCCGAGGAATCTAAGGAAGCTGTCAATCTTGACACCTTAGATTCCCTGATGAAAACCGAAATACGGATGGACATGTCCGATAAGAACGCCAGTTCTAGGATGGAATCCTTGTTCTTGTCCTACCACAAACTACTCCGACGTCACGGTTTGGCCTGACTACTGAAGGTTAACCAGAAGGTTGCGTTTTATCACGTACTGTCAGCGATAAAACCGCTGCAGCTAAATAAACGACTGGAATCGGATTTGGACTTCGCCTATCACGATTGTACGAAAGATTTCCCAAAGTTTATGCAACACTGCATCCGATTGTCGGAAGCATTCCAAATACTGGACACCGGCCCAGGTAAAAAGCGAGAGGAATCTCGAAGTCAAAACCCGAAACGCGGTGGTAACAACGACAAGTCACCAAGAGCCGATTCCGGAAATAAGCCCAAGAAGGGAGAAAATCTTCTAGGCGAGCGCCACCTTGCCGGCATCCTCCATGTAGGGCTAAAGAAGACCGACACTGGATCCGGGATTGCCGATGTGGTATAACTACCCACGTCCCGACCACTCGGAAACGAGAGGGGATTAGTGTGAGGGAGCGCGCGACGCGGGGTACCCACGCGAGCGCGGACCGATCGGAAGAACTCGTAAAGAGGGAAGGCACACGTGGCCGGTGACGTGCAGCTGAGTGGAGGTGCTGTAACCATACAGCCGGTCACGGGTTAGAAGCCTGAGACTTAGAGGTAAAACCGGACGGAGTTAGCAAAAAGCCGTAAAGGGAAGGGAGGCGAGTCTGCCCCCGTTTACTGGAATGGGGCAGGTGCCCCCGGTCTTAACCCCTAAGTGGGACGCCAGGACACCTGTCCCGCTACAGTAGCTGTTACATACTGTATACCAGCTACTGTACTAAATTGGCTAATTTGTACCATTAACCACTCATTGCTAATTACTTACCGGACGGGTCGCACACGTGTGCCCGTGGCCACAACCGGCGCCAACGGTTGTGCCACGTGTACGCCGTGGAGGTAAAACTGTGCTTTCAGAGGGCGCGTGCACGATTACTACAGTAGTAACCGCCCGTCCCGACGGTTCTCATCTCCCACCGGGGGTCGCGGTGTGGAATTGTACCACAGACCCCCTTCCTTACTTCGCGACACGTCCCCGTCTCGGCTGGGGGTTGACATGACCGGCTTGCAGAGTGTCCCATCCGTACGGGGAAGCCCGCCCCGACCACGGGGGCGCGGGCGGACTACGGCCAACTCCCTAGGGGAGCCTATGGAGTTTTTGGTATTTAACCGCGTCGGATCCCCTGGCGCGGCAATGGGTCTCCTCACGCTTTCCTTTTCTCTCACATCACCCCACACCACGCACCCCACTATCTCCACTTCCACATCTCGTCTCATCCCCCTGTCCTCCTCTCGCATGGACAACCGATCATCCGAGCGGGGTCACCCCCCTCGGGCTCAGCTCCCTACGGCGCCAGCCGCGCCGGTCCCTACCTTTCACCCGGCGCTGGCGGCGGGCCCGGTGGGTCAACCCGCGACGAGCATCGCAGCCCCGCGGGTGTGGGCTTCGGGCGCCTGGGTTCTTCCCTCGCGCGGCCTTCCCGCCGTCCAGGGTCCCCTACCGCGCCCTCTGCGCTCAGCCCCGGCTCCCCAAGTCGGCGAGACGACCGTACTGAGACGATCCCCGACTGGGTTGTAGCCACGGGGCAGGCGGCGGCCGGAGCGAGCAACCGCCCAGTACCGCCGGACCCGTACGCGACCACACCCCCGGCGACAGAGGCTCCGCCGTCCGGCTGGCTCCGGACGGGTGTTCGTGCCGTTCGGAGTTTATTGCCCGGGGCTGACTTAGACCACCGGATTCCCCGGGGTGGTCGCAGCCCCTCACAGGCGCTGCCGCCGATGTCCGTCGAGGCTTACATCGGAACGGCCTTCCCCGATGCTGCTCGGTTTGGGGCCATCCCCAGGCGGCGGGGTATCCGCACGCCCTCCCCTCGCGGACGAATCCGCCAAGACAACCGCTCGGCCGCTTGGAGGACCCGCTGGGTCCACGTGCCCCCTCGCGTAATGGCGGATTCCCGTTCGGATCTTCTGTACATCCGCTGTGCGGGTGAGGACCAGTGTCATTCGCGGTTGTTCGACGTCTTCGAGAGGTTCGGCGGGGACGTGGATCCTAAGCCCCACGTGCAGTTGATGGCATTCCCCCGCCCGTTCGACTGGTGGTACAGTGCGGCCGACCGTGTGCAGTGGGGCGAGAATTCCGCCAAGGAGACCCGGCTGCGGTGTCGCCGCGCCGATGCCTACTTCCACATGTGGCACACGACGGAATTCTTCGTCGTGCCCACGGGCGCTGGGGGCGGCTATACCCAGCCTTACCGGACGGTTGGAGCAATCTGGAAGCTCCACAGTACCTCTGCGTCCCCACCCCCAGCGTGCTGGCGTATGCCGCAGCGCGGTGGATGCCGGACGGTTCCTTCGGGCGAGAGGCGACGCCCGGAATGCGTCGACTGATCGACGCCATCTTGCTCTCAGAGTGGGCCGTCCTGGCGTTGCTGTGTTTCCTACACGCCGCACGGGACGGCCTCCCGTTCTTCACAAGGTGTCCGGACCCTCGCCTGGCGAGCCGGAACGGGAACGAACCCGGCGAGCGAGGCTCTCTCTTCCGGTTATCGGCGGGGCTTTTGCAGCTCATCCGATCGGTCGGGGTGGCCGCCATTCTCGAGGGGACGTCGTTCGACCCGGTTGGCGCGGAGGCCATCCTCGATTTTTCCGAACGGTTGGACTGGTCTCTTCGAGAGCGCGGCGACTTCGTGTGGTACAGTTGGGCCCGCGGCTGCTCCTTGCGGATGCCGCATTAGGATGGTACGTCGGCGGAGGCCGACAACTGGTACGACCCCCTGCCGGACGACGGGTCGCCGTCGTACGGTGCGGCCATCGCCTCCGGTGACGGGTGGGGCGCCGCCGTTGCCTCCGCCGGGACTCCCGCCGAACCGTTCGTGGAGTCTCTGCCCGTGTCGACCCCGCCGGTTCTACCGATGCCGGGTAACACCGCCCTCGGAGAGGGCCTTCCAGTCGGTCCCTCGACGCCCCCTAGAGTGGGCGATGCGATCACTGCGGATTCGCCACCGCCGGCCATGGAAACGCCGGCCATGGAAGTGCCGGTCACGGACCCCGCCCCGGTGGGGGCCCCTCGGGAGGTTCCTACTGTCGAGCCCGCGGGGGATAAACTCTCTGCGGTAGCTACCGGATCGGTTCCGGGCTCCGCCGTCTTCCCCGTCAGCGAAATGACCGCGACGGGGACGCAGACCCCCTCGGTGGCGGCCGATGGAGCCCCGACTGTGGCGCCAGCGAACGAAGCCCCCGTCTTGGTCCCGGACGCGCAGGCCGCCCTGCGCGGTCTGCAGATGGAGTGCGGCTACGCGGGTGTCCCTGCACCGACCACCCTCGCGGCGGCTTTGGAGTCCGCGCGCGCCTGGCTGATCGAGGCGACTCAGCTCAGGGCGTGGGTGGCCGGCTTGCAGTTCGCCATCCGCCAACGCGACACCGGCGAGGATCTCCTGCGCAGTGAGACGATGGCACGGATCCGTGCGGCACAGGACCACCTCGTCGTCTTGAGCGAGCAGGTGTCCGCGAAGAGACCGTACGGTGCAGTCGATGCTGATCCCGCCAGCGCGTCGGTGCGGGGAGCGGAGCCCTCTGGCAAGCGCCCACGCCGTGAGTGATGCCAGTGGGGGAGGCGGGGAGAGTAGAGAACCGCCTCCGGGGACCAGGTCCCATCCATTCCAGTAAATTGCCCCCTGTTCTCCTTCTTCTTCCTCTCCTTCACTGCGCTTCCCGCTCGGTACTGTAGTCTCTCTGCGCCGGTCGTCATCATGGCGGCCGGGTTACCCTGTGGCTCATGCCGGCGAGACTCCGCGCTGTGAGTGTACCAAGTGGTCGCGGGAAGGGTCCCCCAGCTACCCCCGCGACACCGGAGGGCATCCGTCCCGTAGGTAATTTAGGCCGGATTTTACCGCCCCGCGGCGGGTGGCCTTTTCAGCGCATTGACGAACTCCGATTGGGTACTCCCCGAGGATCGGAGGCGTCTTGAACCGCCGCCGTGGTCCAGCGGCCACACGTGCCGGACGGTGTATGCCGCCCGCGCAACTCGTGGTCCACAGTGCCCTGGAGCCCCAGCGAGGTCGTCCCCATACAGTATTTACGCGCTGGGTTCCGTCTCTCGGCAGCGGGTATGCACCGGGGCGCCGCGCCGTTTGACCACCGCCGCGTCAGGTCGTCCTGCCAG